TCATTCATTCAAATGTAAATTATATAAAAGCCAATATAATTTTCTACCAGTGATTTTGAAAACATCATATTTTGCCCACAGTTTAATTCTCATAAAATCTTTTAATTATTTCACATATAATAAAAAGTTGTTAATAAAGAATACTATAAGGAATCACATATTTTATTTGTTATTATTATATCAGAGTTATTATAACTCTCTATTCATAAGATTTATAATAACATAAATATTATATTACAATATGAATTATATTATATTATACAGTATATGATACAATGTTTTTCCAGTCAAATTATATACTATTGTGTTGCAAATCCTTTGATACATTCAATACAAATATTTAATGAGTATTTAAATGAGAATTTGATGTTTGTCTGACCTTTTATATGGGAGTAAATGTATGGAAATGTATTGAATATATCACTAAGTTAAACATCTGCTTTTAGTCTATTTGATTACAAATCCCATTATATGCTACTATTCTTGACAAATATTTTTTTAATATTTTTAACATCCATTGGTTTGGGTTAAGAATAGTTAGAAATAATTAAATTATAATTTATAAATAAATCCTTTCAATAGGTTTTCTAAAATATATTTAGAGAGAGAGAGAGAGAGAGAGAGAGAGAGCGAGAGGTTTTAAAAAATATTTTCTTCTTTCACTTACTTATAGACAAATTTATTTTATTTTTTGAGTACACGATATAAGACTTGAGTTAAGACTTTCCGTTAGAATATATATTTTTTAGGATTCAATTGTAAGTCTTTGTATTATTCATCACAAGTGGACACATCCTATCTCTCTATCCGTATATTTGCTATCAATCATCACAATTATATCGTTATTTTTCTTTTGCTCTCAAAATGACTAAAAACGGATAAAAATGACCTAAAATGTTGTGTTAACTTAACCCAGTTTTAGACACATTTTTATCTTATATACACTATACTATACAACACTCTATCTCGCAGTATATTTTGTGTATAATTGATAACATTTGACATTATATTTTCCTTAAACACAAGATTTTTATTATGTTTTTTGTAAATACCATCACAGAATAAACACAAAAAATTATACTTGTTTGAAATGATTATATAAAAATGTAATGTAAATATTTGTCATTTGAATTATACCTAATTCTGTTCAGTCTCTTTATCTAAAGAATTCATAGAATATTCTTGGAGTATAAAAATTAATAATAAGTTGTTTACATATTTTTCAATATTTAAATTAAATTACTGTATAGTATACATGTTTGTCTGGCAAAATATATTAGATATTTCTATATCTAATTGTGATTGACGTGAGTAAGTGTGATGGAGTGTAGTTTTAATATGAAAGTGAATGAGAGTGAATAATTTTCCAAATTAACACAAATTTTTAACACAACAAAATGAAAACAACAAGAATTCACAGAATATATAACAGAATAACAAAAATATAAATCAATTAATCGTTTATATCGTGTGTAACAAAAACTTTTTAATCGTAAACAACTATTTCAATGTGACATTCAATCCATTAATAGCCACACCTAAGTTATACTAAGCAAAGCCGATAGAAAAAATGAACAAACAATTTATTATCAACACAATTGTTACGTACGGCTAAAGTAATGCAAAAGTACAGTATAACTCATTTACCACTTAAAATAATTGCGACAATTGTTTGCCTAACTGTGAGAGTAAAAAAGTGATGAAAAAAGTATTGTCCCGTTTTTATGGCTATTTTTCCATTGCATACAAACACAAAACAGTCAAACATTTTCCTCCTTTTGCTATTCATTACATCAAAAGCTTATATTATTATAGGTTTTGGTCTTTTGCAGTGATTTCTCAAATAGTTAATGATATCCAAAAGGATTGAATCAAATCCCTTGAAGTCGTTACTTTCAATGCAAAGTTTTTTTATGTTGTTTACTGTGATTTTTTTCAATGCACTTTATTTTTGAGTATTAAAATAATTTTATAAGAAAGTTGGAGAGAGAGAGAGAGAGAGAGAGAGAGTTTGTATAATACAGTTATTTATAAACACCATTTATCATAAAAATAGTAATTTATGAGAAAACAGTACAATTATTGTTATTAATATTGAAACTCGATAAATGTATAATAAGTATGAGAATTGCATTTAATTTATTTATAACCATACAAATATTGTATTTAAATGTGTTATATTATGGGTATTTTTAGTTTCACAGTTGGCGGCAACTAACGTTGTATTAATAATAATCACCCAAACTGTTAGGTAATTATTGTAATTCAAGAATAATTATTAAGCAACTATATGATGTATTGTACAGTGAACACAATTGATTATAAAATGTTCATGGTCAAATTTATTTTACAAACCTTATTGAAATTGATTTAGAAACCTCTTTTAACAAATCCAATACAATTCATGTTTAGTTATATTATATGGAAATTCAATTCATCTAAAAATAATAATGTGTTCAGTTTTAGTTTAGGCTTTTTAGACCCATATAGTTATTGTGAAAAAGTTATCTATTTGATCAAGCTTAATTTGTGAAAGGTTGTGCTTAATATTGAGACGCTCATCAACTCTATTAGACAGTTGTATTCAATTTGAGAGAGAAAGAGAGAGAGAGAGAGAGAGAGAGAGAGAGAGATGAGTATATAATATATTGTTGCTCTCGTTTTAATACTTTACAAAATAAGTGTCACAAAAATCAGGTCAAACTAATAGATCTTCACTTCTTCTCACTCTTGTTGTGCTGAAAGTGTTTGAGATTTTCACTTATTTTTTGTGCCAAAAATTTTATTTAATCCAATAATTGAATTGAATTTATTGTTTTTGTAGTTTACTATACTTTATACTATTATATAAAACTCAATACACTTTATATGTGTTATAATACACAAGAATCCTATTTTCAACGCCTTTTATATTCCGGAGAAAACATGTTTTCTTCACTCTTTGGCAGTGAATACTTGTTATCGTTTTATTTGTTTGTAAATAAAGTTTTATAAAATGCTTTGAATTAACGTTAAATTTCTGATGAGTTTTAGTGCCATTTATTTTGCCTTTTATTTGTTGTCAAATATCATTTATTTAGCCATCAATTTAAACCCATTTTATAGTCCATTGATTTGTTATATTTTAATACAAAATAAAATACTTTTAAAATCCGATGCTATTTATCAATCGATGCGAATGTGATTTAACAAATATTTATTTTATTATGGTATTACTGGTCTTGAAAGTTTAATACAAATGTATATAACAATAGAGTTTACTATTTATTTAAAAAATATTTCAATTCTAGATAATACAGTATAACAACCTATTATATTAACAAGATCGTAAGACTTAAACTAATTTTAGTTATAAACTCAGAAATTTGCTTTAATATCAAAATATTAATATTGTAGCGTAAGATTTCTGTTTAGTATTTCACACATTATATATATTTTTTAGCGCAAAAATGGATATATTTTTATTAAATATTTTCTCACAATTTGTCAGTAATTCAATTTGCTTTTGAATTGAAGCTCACGTTTTGATTTGAATTTTACAATAAATCTGTTAACTGTTGAATAGATACTCTCTATTTACTTATTTATTGTATATTTTCTTTTTCTTTTGGTTTTGTTTTCTAAGTTTGTATTCTAACAAGTAAGAGATATTTTATTTTATGTTTTATTTATTTTACAAATCAAATAAAAGTTTTCATTTATAAGATTACTGTGAATACAAATATGATATATTTCTGAACAACATTTTGGTTTTTTAAGATTTATTTATAACTTATAAATTAAATATGGGTTTAAATGTACCCGGAGTATAAATAATTGTTTTACTTTTTATATTATTAAGGATGTTTGCTAACCGCCTGTTGAATCTATTTTAAAATTTAATTTTATTTACACATTTCCATTTAATTGTGGGTTTTTAATTAATTTTATACCATAATAATTAACATTAAAATTGTAATTACTTTTAATGACATATTAATTATTAGTATAATATGTAGAAAAATATCTAATTTAAATATAAGAATTACATATTTAATCTAATTTATAACATTTTATCAATTCCACTACAAATAAATTTATTTACTATGATCAGTAATACCCAAAAATATCTAACGTTTTAAATATGTGTGATCAGCAAATGTAATGCAATCCAGTTATTACCTGAATGAATTAAAAATGATATTTTATTTACAAAATTTATTGAGATTTCAATGAGTGGGATGATTGCAAACAAAATACACGGAATGCTATATATTGTGCTTAAATCACATGTGCTTTAAAGAAGTAAATGCCGTCGCAGTGTATGGCATAGCGTTTGTATGGATACGAAGCCCACAATCAATGTGTTGTGTTGTGTCGTGTCGTTTGGAGAGCAGAATATTCCGTATATAAAGAGCCGAAGCGAACGCATACAAGAGTTTATTCCTCTTCTCTTTCTCACAAACACTACAAGTCTTTCACTCAATAGACGATTGGAGAAGAGTTCACGAACTTTAAAGACAGAGAGAGTTGTGCCACTCGTATACACAATCAATGATAAGTGAATTAAAACACAACTAAATGACAATAATAACAAAAAATAGCTCAACATTTCAACTGTAGATTCAATTGAATTGTAATCATTGAACACAAGAAGAAAGTTGAAGGAGTTTTTTGTATACAAGAAATTAATGAATACTGTATTCTTCGCGAGTTGTATATAAAGTTTTATATACTGTATAATAGTTTTGTGAGTGCAATGACTATGCGTTACATTTGTTGTGAGTTTTTTTGTATTTAACCAAACCATTGATGAAAAGGCATCTGAACTAAACTGAACGGGCGTTCAGTCTATTCTCGACTTACTATACGACAAGTCGTCGCGTAATAAGTGCTGAAAAAGTTTATGAGACTTGACTGGTATCTGAAGTGACAGCGTTTGTAACACTCGGTGTGTATCACATGTAAGAGTAAAAACAATATTTAACAACAAGAAGAAACGCTAACAAAAACATTGCGAAACAAAAAAAACTTTATTATTATTCATTCATTTATTCCGTGAATAACAAATGAGATAATGGATTACATCCATAAGAAACTGACAGAATTGCGTCTAATAAAGAAACCGTCGCCGACGGCGTCGACGGTCACCGATCCCAACACACGGCGAAAGTCAGTCAACTTTCCGCTGTTACCGATCCAGAGGTCCGGTAGACGGCGGCGGACGAGTGGTGGCCACGACTCTACGGACGCCGACGATCCGGCCATCGGTGAAGAGTTGGATGTGATTTCGTTGCCCTCGTGTTCAACAAAGTCGGAAGAAGAGGTTCAAAGTAATGGCAGCTCTAATGGCAGTTCTAAGGGCAGCATATCGTCTCTCTTAGGCAAACAAGTAATGTATTTCCCATTTCTCTACCATTATGTTAGATATTATTACCATTATTGTTATTATTATGTTATATGTCTACGAATATACATTAATTTAGTTATAGAATATTCTGCGCGTATCCATCGAGTTAATTAACTGCCAATACATATGCATTTGGGGTTTGCAATAATACTGTATAATGTAAAAAATAATAAAAACTTATGATCAATTTCCATTCATAACATTTATGGTTATTATTATTATTATATACATATGAATAACAATTCGCATAATTTATGTTTATTCTGCAAATGATGTTTTTATGTCAACAATATATTAAAGTATTTTTTCTTTTGCCGGGCTTTTGATAACATTTTTTTGGGCCAATCGTTGCTATAATCTATTGTCGATTATTGAATAGAAATATTCCCATAAAAATATAAAGTATAGTAAAGAGATATAGAAATTGATGTAAAACTACATTTATATTTTATGAAAACATAAAAAACACAGTATGATGAACGTTTGTCACAGAATATTCTGTATGTATTATATGCATGTGTGCACTCACTGTCAGCCCCAGACCGTACGTTCACAAAACACATCCACACATATAGCCAGCCATGGGATCAATAAACCTAATGGTCAGAAGTCAATAAACTCATTGACTTATATCACAATTCGTGCAAATTTGTAGTGCATTTGACATTAAAACTATTTCCGTCAATACAACCAAACGATAATATTTATGGCATAAAACATAACATATGAAAACCCTTTGAAAAAATATAATATATATATATTTTGGCAAGAATTTGATGAGAATTATAATAAATGTTTAGAAAAAAGTTTATAGACTTTAGTAGACGCTTTTAAATACTAGGAAATAGTTTTTGTAAATAATTAAGGGCTAAATCGTATGAATGTTTAAAAGTTTTAAGTTGTTTAAAATAAGTTTGCGCTCATTTCTACCCCTCTTTCAACACAAATGTTACCATATTTGATATACTTTGACTTGTATTAGACTTGTATTATGGCATACACTTAGACTTTTAGACTAGCTATGTTAAGTGAAAAATAAATGTCTAGTTTGTAATGCAATCTTTTTATTATATTAACATTTTCTCTCAATTTATTAATAGATATATAAATAATCTTTTAAATACTTGATATGAATAGACTTTATATTATGGTTAACGATATGACATAATAAAGAATATTCTTTAACACAAACTTTTATAATATACTCGTTATCGAGAAATACTATCCATTATATAATGTAGTGAAGTATTGAAAGAATATTCTGTTACCTAATAATGGTTTGTATTATGCAATTAAGTGTTATCTTTGGATAAGTTTCAAATTTAAGTAATTATAATATTTGAAGCATTTGGCAACTTCTCAGAAACTTATTTTATCTATACTAAACATATTTCAACAGATGATTATGTAATAATAAATTGCTTAACCTATTATTTAACATAAATATACTCTCCATACCTCTAGTTAAAAACCATTGAAAGCAATATTTAAATATTTTTCATAAAATCGGTATAAAACATACATGTATCTAAACACCCACGTTTAACTTGAGCTCGCTAAAAAGCATTTAGTAATTAATGAGAACCTAATACAAAATCAATACGGAAAATATATCATATGGAAAATTACCTTTTTATATATAATTTTCTAGAAAAGTAGATTAAAATAACTGCTCATCCGATTAGCCTATCATTCAACGCATGTATTGATTATGATTTTATATGTTTATTAATATTCAACATTAATTAGATCTCATTTCCATAATCCTTACAAAATCCAAAATTTTGTCTTTAATTGTATATTAAATGAGATATCTTTTGAATATTGAATGTCGTGATTATTATTCAGTATAAGAATTATCTGTAAAATTAATTAACTTTATTTTTATTCATTTTCATTATTCAGTAATTTGTTTTTAATTATCCCATTTTACTGGAAAGAAATGAAAAGTTTTGCAATTATACCTACAATTCTTGGTATAAATGCAAAACAATTTTTAATTAATTGCGAATTTGTAGACTTTGCTCTTAATATACTTTTACATAGATTTATACACCGAATCTCCTGTATATATAAAATACTTGTATAACATTTTGAGGCTATAATTATTAATTGATGTGTTAATGAAAGTTAAATAATTTTCTTGGAAAACATATTATTTAATACAAAATAAATTAGTTTACTATAAATCAAATTAGACACACATTTCTAACTATCGTTTTCTATGTGTTTTTGATGCAGACATTAGTGAAGAGATCGACTGAATTCCGATATCAAGACGCCGTGAGAAGTGCCACGTATTCAAAGAGTGAGTTTGTCTTACATTCACTGCAATGGCATAACATATTGCGCTCCCATCACGGCGTGCCTCCCCTTATGCTGTCCCTCGATCTGTGCCAAAAGGCCCAGTTCTGGGCCAATCATCTCTCCCATACCGACACCTTCTATCACATGAACGACCCGGAGGTCGGACAGAATCTGCTCTCCAAATGGAGCTATTACTCCGAATTTGATCCCACAGGTGATGATTGTCTTCATTATGTTGTGTCTAATTATGTTATAAACAATTGCTTTTCCCAAACCCACACAATTAGCTTAAGATAAATTGCATTTACTTTTCATTTTCCTCTTTTACTATCTCTTCCCTATTATAAATAATATACAAAATAAAAACCATTTTTCATATAATATATTCCCGATCCAAATGTCAAACGTATAGCAAACACATTAAGTGTTAACTTTATTTCCGTTCGCAATATTTTGTATCTCCTTTTTTTTACAATAAAGAATATTCTGACTTTTAGTGAGTGTTTTTTAGCGAAAACAATATTAAAATGCATATTAAAAAATCAATTTCAAAAACATTTACAGCATATAAGTGCTAAATCCCGGGAATTGATGCGATTCCCAGAAATTTATTCATACTTAATCTTATAAACAATAGATTATTTATTAGTCATTTATTTGCATTATTTGTAATAACTTATATAATTGTATTTCTTATAACTATATTACAGCCGAAGATATCTGTAAATATTGGTATAATTTCATCGATTCCTATAACTTTGAGCTCAACTCCAACGTACTCCATACTCAGGCCAGTAAGTATACCTACCGGTGCTTTAAACATAAACATCTAATACGATTAAATTTAAATATACCATACATTAAGTTAGTTTACTGTTATATAAGAGGTTTGTTTTCAAAACAAATTTCAAACTTAATCTAATGATATAATCATCTAAAATGAGTTTAGCTTTGTTTACGATTTGTTAGCTTTCATACGATATTAGGGAAAACTTTTTAATATATTTTCTATTATATTCCCTTTATATGTGATGTAAGCATTGTTTTCATTGATAACTTAATGAAAGTTGTTTTCAATTATGATAAAACGAAAGTTATACTAAAAGCGCGCATAAAAATCCCATTTAAATGCCCTTTTTCTTGTTTTCTCAGTTAGTTATACACAAGTAATGCATAATTTTGAGCGCACATTATGTCAGACAATATTATGTAAATTGCATTTCAGTTTGTATTTTATTATACCGTATATATTATTATTTAGACGTTAAAGTTTGCTTAATTTTTAGACGAAAAATATATAAAATTAAGTTTTCTTCTCTTATGAGTGAAAAATTAATTCAAAATCTGTTTTGAATATTAATTAGAAAATTCAGTAATTAATTAGCTCTCTATTCGCTAATTATAATTATTCACAAAAAACATTCATTTAATCAAAACCTATACTCCTATTGAAAACTTCGGCACAGAATTCAATGAAAACATACCATAGGTTTGGAAATATAATTATCCAAAAGTGTTGCGAAATGATCTTTTTATTACATAAAAAGTTTCGTAAATATGTTTTCGTTTTTTAAATGAAAACATTTTTTTCAACAACAATAAAGAAATAGAAAGTTATTTAATATGAAATTAATCAAAAATACTTCAAGCAAAACACAAATGACATGTAATTTGAAAAACAAAAATTGATTTCCCCTAGATCATTTCACACAATTAATATGGAAAAACTCCAAATACTTTGGTATTGGTAAAGCGCGTACACGGAATGGCAAAATGATCGTGGTGGCCAACTATATGCCCGCCGGCAATGTCTCGGATCAGTTCAGTGACAATGTATTGGCGCCGATGTTTGCGGAGCTCGAGTCCCGTCGAAACACAGCAATCATTGCCAGTAATCGTAAACTAATCCTCAAATCTGCTCATCGATTGAAGCGTAACCGACGTATGAGTCCTATCAGTACAATCAGCACCGGCTCTAACATTAACTCAAGCCTTTAATCCCCGGTCTATACGAACAGTAAAGACACTGCATTTGATGACATCATCTATTTTTCTTCCTCTTTGCCTTCATTAGTGTTTTTGTGTTGTTTAAGCCATTCATTGAGTTAATCCTTTTGTACATAATATACAGTATTTATTGTAGAAAATGAAATCAAAAACAAAGTAATAATTATTTAAGTCTTTGTAAATAAATCGATATAAACAAAAATATAGAAATACTAACTTATATATTGTAGAATTCACTTTATAGTATTAAATACTGATTTAATGTAACCGTAAAAGTTTCAAACATGATAAATAAATATGTAAAATATACGTGAGTTTAGTGTCATTTAATCTAAAGGCACTAAACTTGTAATAATTTGTTTTGATTACTTGTGTGGGTTATATAAGAGTGGGTGATGTAATGAGGGACAGGTTTTGATGAATCTATAATTAATAATTACTAATATTAACGTTAATATTCAAAATTTTAACACAACATTGTGGTATAATAATCAAAACATATTTATTAATCCTGTACACTCTCTCACAAATTTGACAATAGTCATTTAATTTGTATAAAATAACGCCATATATTTTCCAAATAAAAATAGTTTACGTTTTTTAATTAAAATATAGACTTCAAAATAAAATGAAAATTATCTCGAATTTCGTTTAATTAAATAATATTTTTATTTTCAAAATGTCAAATATCGATATTTATGCTTAAAATAAAATATAATAAAATAATACTTATAATAAATATAAATCTTTTACAAAAACAAGATTAAATTACTTATTTGAAATTTATAATTAGGTACACAAAAGGATGGCATTTGATATTTATGGTAAAATCTCTCTCTCTCTCTCTCTCTCTCTCTCGCTCGCTCGCTC